AAAAAAAAAAAAAAAAAAAAAAAAAACAATTCCACACAAACTCTTACAGAAAAACAGAACAGGAAGGAACACTACACAGCTCATTTTAAGAGTCTAGCAAAGATACTATAAGAAAACTACAGACCAATATCCCTCATGAACACAGGTGCAAAAATGCTGAAAAATTTTGAGGAAGTCAAATCCAGTAATATATAAAACAGACATACACATCATGACCAAGTGGAGACATCCCAGGAATTCAAGGTTGATTTAGAATGGAAAAAAATCAATGCATTAATAGACCAAATAACCCACAACCAAATGATTATTAATAGATGCAGAAAAAGGATTTAGCAAAGTTCAAGTCATTCATGATAAAACTCTCAGAACACTAGGAGCTGAAAGAAAATTCCTCAACCTGATAGAGACATCTATGAAAAACCTATACCTGACAGCACAATTAATGGTGAAACACTAAACACTTTCACTCTGAGACCTGGAACAAGGCAAGGATGTGCATTCTCATCACTTTCATTCAACATTGCACTGGGGTTCTACGTGCAATGAAACAGAAAAAGAAATAAAATGCGTACAGATTGGAAAGGAAGAAGTAGAACTTTTTTATTCACAGATGGCATGATGGTCTATGTAAAAAATCCTAAGGAATCTACAAAAACACTACGTGAACGCTAAGTGAATCTAGCAAAGATGCAGGATACAAAGTTAATATAAAAAATCAATACTATTTCTATATACTAACAAAGAAAAATTAGAAATTAAAATTAAAAGCAATACCACTTACAAGAGAGGTATAAAATACAAAATAAATTTTAGTCTTCACAACTCCCAAATACTTTTACATTATAACCTTCTAATCTCATTAAGGGGCCCTGGTGGCTCAGTGGTTAATCGTTTGGCTGCTAACCAAAAAGTCAGCAGTTTGAATCCTCCAGCCACTCCCTGGAAACCCTATGGGGCAGTTCTATTCTGTCCTATAGGGCTGTTATGCTTCGGAATCAACTCCATGGCATCATGTTTTTTTTTTTAAGTCTCATTAAAATTGAAATAACTGTAATTCTAAATAATATTAAGTAAGAGCATCTAACAAATCAAATAGCTGAATATTTGTAATGCTCAAAGATGGAAGCTGTAAGCTTTATTTAATGGCCTCTAGAATATAGTAAAGGAGCCCTGGTGGTGCAGTGGTTAAAGCAATCAACTGCTAACCAAAAGGTCGGCAGTTTGAAATCACCAGTGGCTCTGCGGAAGAAAGATGAGGTAGTCTGCTTC